AAAAAAAACTAGATGGAGGATAATCTAAAGGCTGCTGCATTAATTCCAAGAAATTTAAAGAAATTTACAATAAACCAATTGCGAAAGATATATATATTGTATTGAAAGGCTCTAACCTGTCGATTACGGTAGCGACGAATATCGTCATCACAACTTCGGTGAGCCCAATAACGATGGTCGATAGGAAGGGGTCGATCGTGCTGTTCGCCGCTTGGAAAATGTTAACCGTGTAGAATAGAACCGCGTCTACGCCGCACAACTGTTGGAAGAACATAAGCCCCACGCAAGTGACAGCGGCTTTACGTCCGGCTTTGGTCCCGACGAGATCCTTGAGGCCGCCCGACGCGTTCACCATCCTGTCGACATCGTCCTGGAGAGCAGTTATTTCGCCCGCGATGTCGTAATGTGGACCGCGTAAGATTGTTAGCACTTTGGCGGCTTGAATCTTACGGTCTCTCTGCACCAACCAGATCGGCGACTCCGGCATAAAGGGTACGCCTAGGACGAAGGGCACCAGGATGGCGCAGCAGGCGATGTTGAAGACTACGTAAGAGCAGTAGGCGCCCGCCACATACGAGAACATAATCCCCGAGGAAAAGAGCAGGGGAAAGAAGGCGCCCAGGGCGCCGCGGATCGACGTCTGGGCAATTTCGCCGGCGTAGACCGGCACGAGGACACAGGCCGCTCCGGCACCGATTCCGCCGATGAATCGGGCGACGTATATACTGACGATGTTTCCGGTCGTGAGCAAGGTAAGCCAGCACACGGTGAATGGCACAGCTGTTAAAAGGATGGCCCATTTCCGACCGATTCGATCGGCGATTTTGCCGGCCGGCACGGCGCCGACGATGGCACCCAGGGCCAACAGAGATGTTATCCACGAGATCTGATTTTCAAACAGTTTCGGAAGGAAAGATTCCGGCGATGTGAGATACGGCAGAATCGGCGATGTCCAACCGAGCGTTATGCCAGCCTGCATGCCGCCTAGCGCAGCTGCAAACAAACAGTCACACTCTC